ATATATATATGAATTTCTGTCATTTTGCTGGGTTTTGCGTTTTATTTCTTACTGCTCTTTGCTCTCTGATAGAATGACAGCACAGGTTGAATTATACTGGTATAAATCTTCAGGTATGTTGCTAAATGGCTGGATTACATTCATCATGTTGTTTAATAAAGGACGGGGTTTAAAAGTTTGACTTCGTAGGTTCAGGGGCTTTTTTAAGTTTTTTACTTTTAGAGTAACACTTTTGGCTTTCGCGGTCGCTGTTCAGATTTTTCTGTCTTTATCTACTTCTAATTTTGGCCATAAGATGTGGGTAAAGCAAAAAATGTTTTTTTTTTCTTTAAATAAGATAGTACAATCATTTTGTAATTAGGAATTGAAAAAGTTTCAATTTAAAATTTTTGCTATTGCGGAAAATTGAATGAACATGTAGTAGGACTGTGCTGTATGGTCGTCAAGAGTTAAAACTTTAATTTGAGATGTGATTCGTTTTCATCTGCGTTTCAAATTTCTCTTCGTTTGCTCATCTTACAGGACATATCATTCTTCTGTTTTGTTCTGTGACTGGTCCTGAATCAAACAAAGATCACGTCACCACTGTTTTAGGCGTACAAGTAGTGGTCGCACACCCCAAAAAAGAATACAGCCAGGTGATGCCTTGTCTTCAAGAAGTTCATTGGACAATAATCAAGTTAACGGAGCAGAAGGTTTCTTTTACAATTGATTGCTAAAGTCTCATTCTGGCAGCTCCAGTTGGGAGGTTGATGTGATGACTTTTAATTTGCTCCTACTTAATTAATAACCACATATTAACTTATTATTGTCAAGCTTGATTTGCTTGTTAAAAATTGAAATTTAAAAATACATCATGAGGTGCTGTCAAAAGTGCCTTCCACCAGTTAGCGATGTGTAGGCTCTGGATTTGTTTCTTAGTCATTGGTAAAAGCCCTTGTGAATAGTTGACTCTCTAATAACATCTAAAATGATCTCACTTCATATGTTGATATTGAGATGTGCGCACAAAAGTTAAAATTTGGTTTTAATGTGTGGTTTTTAGGTATGGTATATTAATGTTCTAGTTCTTTATGACTCTTAAGCATAACATTTAAGCTGGTTATATGCTTTTTTTCGCAGACTCCTAGCGCTGTTCTTGTAAACAGGCGCCTTTTTCTCTGGCTGTTATGAGCGTAAGGTTAATCTTAATTTTTGCTGACTTCCTCGACTGTCTTAATATTACTTTGTTATTGTTCGCATAGCTTAAATATCGTTTCTTTTATTGTTTGAACGTTATTCAGTGTAACTAAATGAAAGTGGAACAAATTTCGTTTTAATTCTTTTTTTTTTTTCACTAGTAATAAGTAACATCTAATACTGTTTTTTTTTCACTCTTGCTGCTTAGTTGTGAGGAATTCTTCCAGTTTTATACATGACGTTGTACAGTTTAGAGATTTCTTATTTGTCTCTTGTTTTTAATGAAGTTTTCATTAATACCAAGTGTTTATACTACAAAGTGAAATTTTCTTACGTTAAACATCTTTTACTTCCATTATCTTACAGCGGATCCCGAAGCTGATCAATCATTATCCGAACTTATACCTCTTGAGAAGAAAGGTGGACCCGTTGCTGCTGAAGAAAAGTTCTTTTTTCGCTATATTTTTTGAAAAAAATTTTTTCTTTTCAATTTTCTTGTTTTAAGTTTTCTTATTTTAAAAAGGAATTTCGTGTCATTGATTGCCTAGAGACAGCTTTCAGGGCGGGATTAAGTTTTGACCCTCAACGTGTTACGACAGAAGGATTCTTAGTGCCGTCTGTTCAAAGGGTAGTGATTTTAGACAAGCCACAAATAGTTATTGGTGGTGTTCCAGTGTCTGAATTTTTTGAAATCCCAGAACCGAGCTACAATATTAACCAGTTTTTTTCTGACGAAGAGGAGGGTAAGTTTTACATTTTCAAAATCTTTCTGTTCTGAGTTCAACAGCAGTAAGTCTTTGTTACTCACTTTCAAAGTTCCTAAGAGTTTTTGTTTCTGAACTAGTCTTGTGAACTTTCAGTTTTTTTTTTTTTTTTTTTTTTTTTTTTTTTT